CCAAAGATGTCTCCAGACATTGCCAAATGTCCAGGAGGCAAAATTATTCCCAGTTGAGAACCACTTGGTATATAAACATTTATGGCAGTATATCATTTTGTGAACACATTTAATTTTATCTTTAAAAAAATGTTTTTATTGATTTTTTTTTGAGAGAGAAGGGAGAGGGAGAGAGAAACATTGATCGGCTGCCTCCTGCACACCTCCTACTGGGGATCAAGCTGCAACCCAGGCAAGTGCCCTGACTGGGAATCAAACTGTGACCTCTCGGTGCATGGGACCACGCTCAACTGAGCCACACTGGCCAGGGCTGAACACAGTTAATTTTAATCACCATCTTACAGACAAGGAAACTGAGGCACAGAGAGGCCCAGTAACTTTCTTAGGGTCACAGTGGCAGTTGAGATGTCTGATTTCAGAGCTGTTTCTTGCCTGAAACACATCCAGCTGCTCAGTCATTTGACTTGTTGAATGTGTGGCAACTTCAGGTTCGTATGTCCAGGGCGAGTCACGGCTGGGGAAGAATAGTGTTTGATGTGGTCCAGCTGAGTTCTGTGGTGTCTGAAACCGTTACACGTGAGGCCACAGCCCCAGGGCTGGTTTGGCCTGAGATGACATCACCAAGTAGCCAGCCCAGAAGGCAGCAGCCTACAGGGCCACCAGCCTCCTGAGCAAGGCTGACAGCAACTTGCAAAGACCTACAGACAGTAGCACCCTGGCTAACCCACGGAGTGACCTCTTCTATATTTAGGGGGGAAGGTAGAATAGTGGTGAGTGGGCATGAGGAAGGGTAGTGATGCCTGGACCTGATTCTTTTTCAATTCCCCTCCCTCTGGCCTCTCCCTAAAGCCCCACTACAGAGCCAGCTGACAGAGCCAAGGTCCTACCCCAGGGGTGGGCTGGGGCAGGGTGTGTGGGCTCCTCAAACTTTGGCCTGGTCATGGTGAGGCTGATTTCCTGTTGGCTCATCTGTCTGGGGCACAAAACTACAAGCTCTGAGGGCAGAGCCTGTGCAGTAGTTCCTGTATCTCTAGGTGCCTGTGCAGCAGGCATCAAGGTTGGGTGGGTGCAGGATGGGGGAGGGCGGGCTAGTGGGGAAACGATTGGGATATTTAGGTTGGAACACGCCTTCCAGACCAGAGTCCAAACCTGTTTTCTAGACTTGCTCAAGGGCAGTCACCTGAGCAGCTCGTGACAGCGGAGCCCAGCCAAGATGAGCGGAGGTGCTCAGCCCTGTTCCCTGCAACTGGGTTCTTCTGGCCATTCCCTGGGCCTGCGAACAGAACAGCTGGAGGGAGTTCTGAGCTGAATAGAGCTCCGATTACCACCCATGGGAGCAGAGAGGTGCTGCTCAAAGAACTTGAGGTCTGGCCTTCAGTAAATAATCAAAGTTTAACTTTTTAAAGGGAAACTTCTCACAGAGCGAAATACTTCAGTCAAGTGTCCCCCTCCTGTCCCTGCAGGGGCTCTGTTGGCAGGAACTTTTAGGTTAAACACGCAGCCCCCCTAATTGGCTGTAAGGAACTGTCAGCCTCCTGCTTTCCGGCTGGAAGCAGCACATTTTTCTCTGCTGAAACCACAGGAGAGCTTATCAGCATCCTTTCAACCCCACTGCCTCCTGGCAGACACCTACCACAGCCCTGAGCACTTACCACACGCACACTCACTGAGGGCAGGGTCAGATCTTAAGATGTGGGTGGGGAAACCAGGTGCCAGTGATAAGCTCCTTCGGTCATGGCACCACAGGAGGTGACTGGGCACAACTTAGGGCTTACTTCAAGCCCGTGGTTCTCAGCTACTAGACTCTTCTGGAGCTCTTCCAGCATACACCCAGGCCCATTAAATCAGAATCTCTGGGAGAGGAGCCCTGGAATCAGTTTAAAAAAACAAGCTCCTAAGATGGTTCCAATGAAGAGTTCAGAACTTCTGTTCTAAGTGGACTTTGTAGGAATTTTGAAATTTCTGACTGTACCTATTTTGGCAATTGTGACTGAAGAAAGAGCCCTTTGTAAATGAGGCAGGAGAGATAAAACTGCACCAGGGTTGGGAGAGCTGCTGAAGGCCCAGTAACACTGTCACCTGAACTGCATGACCAAGCATGGATGGCAACTGCCTCACCCTGCAGCCCAGGGTCACCCGCTCAGCAGTCTGCACAGAGAAGTCACTGGTGGACAACCTGTCACCTAACCAGCCTTAAAAGTACCACTCTTTCCTACTTCAAGAGCATTTCCTAGACCCTTAGAGCCCCAATTCAATTGTAAACTCAAATTTTAAGACTGCCAAGCAACAGAGGCAATTCCTTAGTTCCTAACTCTCTGCAGATACAGACCACCTAAGGGCCCCAACATCTGAGTAAAACCACCCAAATCTAATCCACAGAATTACCCCACACCCATCAGAATGGCTACTATATAGAACTTACAAATATATTTATTTATAAAAACAGGAAATAAGTATTGGCAAGGGGGTGAATAAATCATAACCTTTGAGCTTTTGTGCTGTTGGTGGGAATGTAAAATGGTAGAGCCGCTGTGGAAAATAATATGGCGGCTTCTCAAAACAGAATCCTTAAAACAGGCTCCTTAAAACAGAATTGCTGTTCGATCCAACAATTCCACTTCTGGGTCTATACCCAAAGGAACCAGAAGCAGGGACCTGAAGAGATATTTGCACACCCACGTTCACAGCAGCAGTGTTCACAGCACCTAGAAGGTGGACACAACCTGTGTCCATTGACGGATAAGTGGATGAACAAAATGTGGTCTATACAGACAATGGGGCATTATTCAGCCTTAAAAAGGAAATTCTGACATGTGACATGGGTGAGGATGTCATGTTAAGCAAAATAAGCCAACCACAAAAGGACAAATATGATATGATTCCACTTATATGAGCAGCAGTCAAATTCAGAGACAGAAGTGGAATGGAGGCTGCCAAGGACTAGAGGGAGAGGAAGGTGGGATTAGTGCTGAACGGGGGCAGTTTCAGTTTTGCAGGATGAAGAGTTCTGTGGACAGGTGGTGGTGATGGTTACAGAGTAATGCAACCACCTAATGCCACTGAACCACACCCTTAAAAATGGTTAAGATGGTAAATTTTGTTACTTAACCAAAATTGAAAAAACAAAAAACACCACCCACCCCCAGCCTGCAATGGGTACATAACACAAAAACCAACACAATCACAGAAAGTGGTTTATCAGAGTAAGGGCTGGAAAGAGCTCTGGAAGGACCAGGGAGGTCTGGTGGGGGGGGGAGGAGGGGGG